TTTTTTTTCCTCTTTTCCTTTTTAAATTCCAGGTGAATAAATATTGAATAAGTATTAAATAAATTTTTTTTCCCTCCACTTAAAAAGAAAGAAAAAAAAAATTTCTCCTGTAAGTATAAACCTTAAAGAAGGATGAAGGACGGGCTATTTACAATAAAGCAAGTTCGGAAGCCCATAAAAGAGGACAGCCCGGAGGCCCAGTTTGGATAATGTTTTTTAAGAATAAAATATACTTAACTACACATTTATAACTATTAAATAATAGCTGTTGAAAAAGTTTTCTTCTAATGAGATATTTGATTTTGAATTAGTCAAAATTTAATATAATTATCAAATACTGAGAAGTTAATATAAAAAGAAAGTAAAAGTGAATTTTTTAATATTGTAAGTTTCACTCCTCATTTAATAATATTTATTTTACAGTTTGATATGATCTAAACGGTTTAACAAAACACTCATATTTCTATTTCCTAATCCCATAGTTTTTTTTTTTTTAAATAAAATCCAATTTTTCCATTATGTTTTTGTTCAGGCAGAAGTCATATTTCTGGGACAACTCAGGCACCCAAATTTAGTTAAATTGATTGGCTATTGTTGTGAGGAGGAGCAACGTCTTCTGGTGTATGAGTTCATGCCCAGAGGCAGCTTAGAGAATCATCTCTTCAAAAGTAAAATCTTTTATAAACTCATCCTTTTTAAAGGAGATAAAATTATTCTTCACACTGGTTGTAAGTTTCTCCCCATGTTGATGCCAGGGATCTCGATTTCATTGCCGTGGGGCACTAGGCTAAAGGTCGCCATTGGAGCAGGTAAAGGACTTGCATTCTTGCATGATGGAGCGGAGAAGCCTGTCATATACCGTGACTTCAAGACTTCCAATATCCTGCTTGATTCTGTGAGTAATTGACTCTCTGTTTCTTGGATTGTAATAAAAAAAAGTTAAGTAAAACAAGCATAACCCCCTATCCATGGAACATTCAATAACCAACTCATCACTCTTTTTTCATCAATCAATCAGGATTTCACAGCTAAATTGTCTGATTTTGGACTAGCTACAATGGGCCCAGAAGGATCAAACACACATGTGACAACCCGCGTTATGGGTACCTATGGCTATGCTGCCCCTGAATATGTGTCAACAGGTAACTTTTCTCAAAGAATAAGATTATTGTATATAGACTTGCTTTACTCATAGCACAACAAACTAATGATTTGCGAGGGATATTCAGGTCACTTGACAACGAAAAGTGATGTATATAGTTTTGGGGTAGTACTTCTAGAACTACTTACGGGGAGGAGATCAGTGGATAAATCAAGACCAAAGGGTGAGCAAAACCTTGTTGATTGGACAAAACCTTACTTGAGGAGCAGTCGCAGGCTGCGATACATCGTGGACCCAAGATTTTCCGGCCAATATTCTGTGAAGGGAGCAAAGGAGATGGCTCTTCTGGCACTACAATGCATAAGCTTGAACCCCAAAGACAGGCCGAGGATGTCAGCCATAGTTGAAGTTCTTGAAAGCCTGCAACAGTACAGGGACATGGCAGTCTCCTGCGGTCACTGGCCACCATCTACAAAATCTACAAGGAATGGAGGTTCTACAAAAGGCAGGGCAGAAAACAAAGGTGGGATTCAAAAGAAAAACTCTTCAGTAGCACCAAATCGGAAAGCATAAGTATATATTATGAAATAAGAAAAACTATAAAGCCTACAATTAGACAGTATATATGATGAGCGTGTCTGTTTTCTGTGTAAATATGTGGATGATATACATAAATATGGAATGGAATAGTGATGTAACCCTTTCTCTATCAACAAAATAAAGTATCTTATTCTAATAGCATAATAAAAATCATTTCATTCACTAATAATAATAACAACAAATAACCATTTCTTGTATTTTTGAACCCTAATTGGGCATTTTAATTAATTAGAGAAGGGAAATGGTGAATGCAAAGAATGAATTATATCACAATGATAAAAATGTTGGATATCTCTTATATTCTAAGTTCTTTACATGTGATATTGAGATTTGACACCTTAGCCTAGTGTATAGAGAAAGATAAACCCATTTCTCAATCAAATTTCTTCTACATGAATTGAGGTGATGACAAAGAGTTAGAACAACCAATTGTACAAGTGCTTGCGTTGTTGGCTTTCATTAACAAAATAAAAAAATTCCTAAGAAGTCTAAAACTTAACAATCAAAGCAAATTGCGTGCGTTTCAAAATTCCAAAAACTTGTGGTTTTCAATGTTGCATACATACAATCAGAATTGGTATGCAAATTTGCTTCTGCTTGAAGCCAGAATAGTTGACTTTTACATCCATAATATATTCCTTTTTGAATCTGTGTGCCTAACTCCTAATGTAAAATGGATTTTTCTAATGAGATTTTGTCTATAAATCCCTTAAGTTCTCCTCTTACTCGGCCCTTTTTTGCCTTTGGTGGCAAAGGTCCCAATATTGAATTGAGAATTTTGTCAAAAATCGAGAGGAAGAATGCTTGTGTTAGAGTGCATCACATGGGATTCATAGCCAAGAATTACATCCCACAGTACCTTCAAACTCTACATGCAAGGTAGTTTGTCTACTTTTAATTGATACATCCACCTATCTCAAAGAACAATATCAAACTTGTAACTCACTTAATAAACTACATAATACCTCTTATATAAATTGTTATTTTTTAGTTTTTTCATGAAAATAATTTCAATTTCTAAAAAGTTAAGAACTGGGATTGGACATTTGAAAATACCGAAGTTTGGAGAGAAGTTGTTTATTTGCAAGATCATATCCCTGAAAAGCAGATTTAACTTGTAATCAATTCAAAAACAAGTAATATAACAATATTAAAGGAAACGCAATATAAAGCAAGTAGTAAACGTTATCAACAAGTCAAAAGAGTCGAGAATTCAGCTTTCTTTCTCCTATAACTGAATATGGGGCGTGAGAAATGCACTAAAAAAGTAGACTCAGAAACAAATCACTTGCTTAACTTCATGCCAACCCCACTTTCCCCAACAATCCGCCTCAAGAAATTCATTCAACAAATTCAATAAATTATCTTCAAACAAACACCAAATTTTACCGTCCCAAAATGGCCTTCAACAACAAACCTAAGAAACCCCAACAATCATCTCGTTCCAATCTCTGCACCACACTTTTCTTCATCGTCCTTTTCACCATCCCCATCTTCTTCCTCCTTCATACCTCAACCTGTTCCATCTGCACTGGTTTGGCAGCTACCATTGCAAAGCCATGGTCATGGTCTGGTGATCTTCGTAACGCTGAGTTTGCTTGGAACCGGCTTTCTTTTATTGAGAATCAACCCCCACAGTTAACGCTTAAAATAGCCGTTTTTTCTCGGAAATGGCCTATTGGTACCACCCCAGGTGGCATGGAACGGCACGCTTATACCCTCCACACCGTGCTGGCCGGCCGTGGTCATCAAGTTCATGTCTTTACCTCTCCTGTGGAGGAAAATTATCGTCAGGCTCTGTCTCAAGAACAGCATTCATCTTCCCCGCGCATACACTGCCACGAAGGCGAACCAGGTCGGTGGCGGTATAACAAGGCGTGGGAACAGTTTGAGGAAGAGAACCGGCGCGAACCGTTCGATGTAATTCATTCGGAAAGTGTGGCTCTGCCTCACTGGCTTGCACGGAAGGTCCAAAATCTTGCTGTTTCTTGGCACGGCATAGCGCTCGAGAGCTTGCAATCGAGTATTTACCAAGATTTGATACGGAGGCCGGACGAACCCATATCGCCGGCCTTCAACGACAGCCTATATGGGGTGATCCCAAAAGTGCTGAACGAGATTAGGTTCTTCAGGAATTACGCCCATCATGTCGCGATTAGCGATAGCTGCGGTGAGATGCTGAGGGACGTTTACCAAATTCCCAGCAAAAGGGTCCATGTGATTCTGAACGGCGTTGACGAAAATGGGTTCGGAGAAGATTTACCGCTGGGGCACGAATTCAGGTTGAAAATCGGCGTACCCAGAAACGCCAGCTTGGTCCTGGGCGTGGCCGGGAGGCTGGTGAAAGATAAAGGCCATCCTTTGCTCTTCGAAGCTTTCTCCAAAATCATGAAAAAGCACCCCAATGTGTACTTGATCATCGCCGGCTCTGGACCGTGGGAACAGCGATACAGGGAATTGGGTTCTCGGGTTCTGGTCTTGGGATCCATGAATCCATCTCAACTCAAAGCCTTTTACAATGCGATCGACGTTTTCGTGAATCCAACGCTCAGGCCCCAAGGATTGGACCTTACTCTTATGGAGGCGATGATGAGCGGGACCCCTGTTATGGCATCGAGATTTCCCAGCATCAAAGGAACTATTGTCGTCGATGACGAGTTCGGATTCATGTTTGCTCCGAACGTGGAGTCTCTGGCAGAGGCGCTGGATGCGGCAGTCAGGGAAGGTCCTGAGAGGCTGGCGCGGAGGGGAAAGGCGTGCAGCCACTATGCGTCTTCCATGTTTACCGCAACGAAGATGGCACTCGCATACGAGCGGTTGTTCCTCTGCATCAAAAACGATTCGTTTTGTGCTTACGACTAGCTCATAGTACTATTTTTTTTTTTCTTTTTTTACATCTATTTTATTTTATAGTAATTTAGACACAACCTCTAACTTCCATCCCAAGCTTATATTTAGTTACCCATTTTTCTTCAGAAATAGAAAAAAGTTTTCGTTTCTATCTTTTTATTTTTTAATACTAGACTAGCCTCTCGGTAAAAGGAAACCTTTATAGATCTTATTTGAAAAAATTGATTTCTGTTTACTCGAATCAATATATTATTGATTATTTTTATAATAGGTTTATTGTTGATTTTGGCATGGAAAAAAAATCAAAGAAGTGAAAATAAAATAAAAGCTTTATATATGCAATTCTTTATATGGTTTAGTGGTGGCAACGTTACCTATTAAACAACAGGTGGAATGTATATTGATCATAAGTTTGATTCTCTCAAAATATATATACTAATTAACTTAATTAAAAATTTTTTACTGTCAAAAAAATAAATAAATAAAAGCTTTATATATATATATATATAAAAGAAATTTGGGTAAAGAGTTCAAGTACAAAATTTAACTATTAGGCCATTGAGGAGTCTTGGGCCAATTGACATTATATCAAAAGACTAATTCCTCCCACTGAACCTCAATAACCCATCACTTGTTCCTGACCATTCGACAGAAGAATATTACTCCGTATCTTCCATTTCTCTACTCATTCTGTAAATGTTACTTGGGATGCTTCTGCTAATTCACGATTTCGTTCAAAAGCATCATAAGCATGCTTGGTTCTTAGGAACAACAACAGACTGGAAATCAGTCCCACTACAGATAAGCATCCCCACACCAGAAATGTCAAGAAATAGCACCGCCTCCCCATGCAGACTGCCGACTCTGTATCTCCTCCCATTAGGCCTGATCCTATATTGGCATCATAAACTAGTGCAGCGAGGAGGCCATAAACGAGTGATCCTATTGGTATGTTGGTGATGAGAATGTTGTGATTTACACCTACGCTGTTTGGTCCAAAAAGGTCGGACGTGATGGAAACGGCTGCTGCAAAGATGAATCCTGAGCTCCAGCCTATTAAAGCAGTGCCTACGTGCAAGGCCACTGAACTCCCTGATGCTGCAAGTAAGAAAAAAGCAATTGGAGTTGGTAATAGGGCAACTGTCAGCCACCCTGTTCGAGCAAAGTACAACTTCCTGCAAACATATGAATATCATCGTTTAGGATCACAAATTCAATTTGAAATTAATTATGATGACATTCACTGCTATAATGTAATTACTTACGTGCGGATGTAGTCTGGTGCTGCTGAAAGCAAGCGACCAAAGAAGGAGAAGGATGAATAAAGGGTAACAAGGGTAGTTGTATTTGAGCTTTCTCCCCGAGACTGTGCAATCTGTCCTAGATTGTTACTATATACAAGGCCAATCGTACCCCCACAAAAGTATGCAAGGTAGTATAGCCAGAAATCCAACCTACGTACAAGCAACCTTGCTGGATGCTCTTCACCTAGAATCACCAGTTGATCTTTCCCAATCATTTTATCACAACACCAATTACAGCATCCACCGCATATATTCCGGGTCATTTCATATGCAAATCCTTTGCTTAATAAGTTGTTTTCTTCATAGGTAGCCTCACGGCTTACTAATTGTTTGTGAAGCTCAAGATCATCATCATCAACAAGAAGGAAGCTGGAGTTCTCAAGGCGAAAGCTAGAATGAACGGTATAGTGAAACCATTTTCGAGCATAGACAACACCAGGGATACATAACGGGAAGACAAGAAGGAAAATGGCTCCAGCAAAAAGGAGACGAGAGATTGTTGAGCTATATGTGTTTGAACCAAAAACAAGAAGATAAACACCAGTGAAAACAGCCAAGACATTCAATAGGAGAAACATTATGGAGTCACTGCGAACTACATCAATGGTTTGAGGTTCTAAAGATGGTTGGCGAAGGATGGGGATTAATGCTGCAAGTGAAACAAGAAGGGGAAGGAGGGCATTTAGAAGTAGATATAATGCCATAGATGATGAATTGATTGCATCAGCAGCAAGGGTATAAAGTGCTGCACTTACACCATTGAAGCTTACAGTTAGGGATAAAGCGAGGGCTCGATTGACTGGGAAATTTCTTATGCAAAGAACAAAACATACCGTGTTAAACCAACAGATGCTACATCCAGCCAACAAACAGAGAAAGAAAACCTGCCACAAGGAAACAAGAATTTTAGTCTTCTTTGATATCAGGAAATTCACATTTGGTAACAAAAAAGATGCATGGATGGCCAATTTAGCTGTAAGATGCAATCCCTTAGATGACAGATTTTGCTTGAAACTAAAAAGTTTTATGTGAAATGCTAAATATAACAAAATGGATCATAAAGATTTACCGTTTGTTTTAACAAGTTGTCCCTTTGGGATGATTGTGTAAAAACCTATGGAAAGTGTACCCTTGGTAAATAATTTGAATGAAAAACCTATGGCACCGGTACACCTGATAAATAATTTGAAGGATTTAGTGTTCTTTTCTCTCTAAAGACTCTACTAGTCAAAAGTGTAGAATATTTACTCACTTCTGCATGCAACTTTACTCATGGGCCCTTAGGAAAACACTTAACCTGGGTCAACTGTTCATCAATAATAATTTGTAGAAATTAACGATCCATATTTCAACACCTTCCTAATTAAAACTTCTTAATATTTACCTAGCTCTGCATAACATCTTCACTTGGTCCTCACGAGGGACAATGATATCCCACATAGCAAATCCAATTTAAAATTATTTCTAGCATCCAAGAGTTAAGAAGTTGATTGAAAATAACTGTACAACATGAGGAAATGCACAAGGCGCTAAAACCTGTAAAGAAAGAAGCTGCTTGACTTATTTTCAAATTGCAGAATGGAGAGTCAATGCATCATTTACAAGAATGCAAACGGCATCAGATCTCTAACCAACTTAAAGATTTCTAATGATTGACATCTCATGACAAAAGCTTCCAGAATAAAAGCATCGTATCAAGTATGGGAAAGACAGAAAAGAAACAACAGAATACTTACACTATGCAAGAAATTAAGAAGAAAAATTCTACCGAAACATTAAAATTAAGAAGAAAAGCTATAATAAGACATTAGATGCAGAGCACATGCACTTAGACTAGAAAACAAAACAACCATGGATCTATCATATGCTTTGTGTCAGAGCTGAGTTGCAATTGAAGATGACAGATTCTTTTAGTTATACTGAGATTGTCCCATATTTCTAACTCATATCTTTTTTTTTAATGAATGTCCAAGTGAGATTATTCAGTTTTCAAGCATCAAGCCCACTGCATCAGGAAACTAGTTCATAATGATATGAAAATGTATACATAGTTATTTTCTTCTCTGAAAGTAACAATGTTAATGATGCAAGGAAAATGGGAGCAGAGCATCCATAATGCAAGACAATGAGATGCACCAAAAGGGTAAAATAACAAAGAAAGAAAAAATAAATTAAATAATATGAAGCTTCTAAAAGCTTGAATGAAAATTAAAATTGAACTTTATATGATTTCACCTGAAAGGCCAGTCAAAATGATATCAAGAGGAAGTTTGCAACGCGAGATTTCAATAGTTATTTAATAGTTATTGGCATTATATAGATTTTAGCAAGATCATAATTCTATTGAATATTTACATCACCAACCCAGCATCATTGTCACAAAAACTATTTTACTGAGGCAACCGTTGACTGCTTTTGCCTCTTCTTGAGGCATTTTACCCCAGAATTTTTGAAAGAACCCCCATGGTGTCAACTTCACTCTGGACAAATTGACCAAGGATAACATTAATTATTAACCTGGTGGTTCACAAGTCCTACTCAGCCATGCCCATTGATGATTACAAAACACCCAATTGGCCAAAAACACAGGGGGAAAATTAAGAAATGATTTTGAATCAAAACCCATTTTCCTTCCTCTTTCCTCCAGGAACTACCAGGAAGAAAGAGAACAAAGGACACAAAACAGACGGAGCAAACCAACAAAGAGCAAAATTGGAAGACAGAAGATACCATGTTGAGCACTCAGTGACAAAAATATATTTGTATAGTTAGGTCAAGAAAGGTTCTAGCAAAAGGAAGCACGCCAATTCATACTCTGGTTGCCACCCTTGGAGACAATAGATGTCAGTTTCAAAGCAAAATTCAATTCAAATATCACAACCAAGAACACAGAATGCAATGTTTGATATCAGGAAATTTGCACACCGGATTCAAAAACAATGGTTTTGACACTAAAAAATCAACTTCATGAACCATTTTTATTATAAAACCAATTAATTCAAAAAAGTGGTTATATCATTATAAACAATGAAAGAATAACTGAATATATAAATTATAATAGTCTTTAAATCTCAGTTTCAATTAGATCACACCATGGGGACAAAAAAAAAAAAGAATATCTTCACCAGAAATAAATTAAAGCAGCAATTTCACAACCATATGGTAAGTACATCAAAACAGCAAAATATTGCATAAAAAAATGGACAATTTGGCAGCCAATAAGACCCACCAGCCCATCAGCAATATTTGCGAAAGTGGTGAGGACCCACCATTACCAACACAGCTGCTAACTGTCAATCTTTGACTGCGTGAATCTGAGGTGAGGGCACTAACACTGTCTTTCTCTCAAGTCTCAACCCTTCCACGACTTATTTCCATTTCCTTATTGAAAATTGGTATTTTTTGGTATAGACTGAATAGAAATAATAATAATAATAATAATTTGAATATTAAAATTATTAAAATATCAATAATGATTAATGATTTTTCTGTGCCTAAATTACATAAAAATTTTAATTTTAATAACTAACTAATTAAATTAAAATATATATTAACATTAAAATTAAAAGTTATTATTTTAATTTTTTTATATAATTTAATCATTAAAAAATGGATAAATTATTTCCTTATTTAACTGTGTCCTAACTTGTTAGAAAAATCTAATGATTAAACGTAGAGGGAAAATGACAATGCATTGGGAATTTCAGATTTGAGAGGTAAAAAAGTAGATTAATCAATGATTAAAGGGGAACTCTGAGAAGGAAAAAATGAAAATAAAAAAAGAACAAAGTAGAACTAATCCCAACACAGAGATCAAATTATTCCCAAATTTCTTAATCTGAAAACCCCACTGTCCTACTCTATAGTTTGCCTTTTTCCGATTTTTTTTTTTAAGGAAATCATGAAGGAAAAAAGAAACAGAAGTCTTTCTCGAGGAGAACACTCCTCTTTTTCATATAATTTTGAAGGGGAATCGTGATTCCAGGAAGCATGGAACTTGAAGTTCTCCAAGAATTAGAAGCACAATTGAAAGCATCGGGAAATAAACGGAATAAGAATGCTTGAATTCTACTCAAACAAGCCAGAAATCATTAGGAAAACCCAAAACAGAATTCAGATCCATATACGAAATTCTTTCACCCATTTCGATATCTTGCAAGTAACCCACAGACTGAAAAAGGAAAGAAAGAGGGAGGAATGAGCATACCAGAATATAAGGCAGCGAGATGACGCCGGTTATCACGAGGAACTGAACACCATAACCGACGAAACCCATGAAAGCCGCGATGAAGAGCACGGCTGACAAAGGAAAATACATCAAGGCGAAGCCGGAGGACCAACCAAACAGCTTCCCCATATCGGAAGCGACAGCCAGGTAATTCAACTCTACCTGAGAAATCCCCAGGACCGATTTCAGCTCCGAGGAATACGCGGAGAAATCAAAGTTCGTGCCGGTGAAGGCCTGAATCCATATGGTGGCAACCAGAATCATCCACTTCCGCGACTGCCCCGCCATGGCGAACCTGAGAACCAACCAGAAGAAACTGCGTACCGGATTTCTGAAACTTTTGCGGTCTCCGTCGTAGTCGAAGTGATTAGTAGGGAGTTTGGAATGGAAATCTCTACGTGGCCTCATTTATTTATATTCCCTCTAATTTCAGGAAATGTGAGATAAAAAAAACAAAATTATCTAATCTTCTTCTTCCAACTACCGTTATGTTGCGAGGGGTGACTGGTGAGCATTTATTTTTTTTATTTTTTGTATTTTTTAAAAAAATGCCATCAAAATAATTTTCACCGAGACAGGTGGGAACGCTTATGGCCACGGACTTTGTTGAGGCCACCGAAAATATTTTATAAATGTTTAGATTAATTGTTTTAATATAATTAAAAGTTAATGAAGAATGTCCACGTGCTTAGTAACCACTCCACTTTTATAAAAGATTTTATAAAAGATTTTTTATGTGAAATTTCAAGAGCATGAATTTGAGTCCCACTTCTATTGTTCAAAAAGAAAAAAAAGGTTAATAATTAGCAATTAATAATAATTATTTATAATTTAAAATATATAAAATTTTTAATTAAAATTAATAGTTAATAATTATTTTTTTTATTTATAAACTAAAGGTAAAAATTCTTTTTAATCCCTTAAACTAATATTTAAATAGCATTTAAACCCCTGAACTAAAAATGAAGCAGATTAACCTTCCAACTTCACTAATAATGCAAATAAGTCATTCTTATTCATAGGTGTTTATACTTTCAATGTGATATTAAATATAAAATACCTTTTGGTCATTTTGTAATGAGGGTGTATTTGCATTGTTAGTGGAGTTTGATGGTTTATCTGCTTTGTGTTTAATTTGAGGGCTTAAATGCTATTTTTGAATAAAATTGAGGGCTTAGAAAGAGTTTTTCCTAAATTAGAACACTTCGATAGACAATATTGTAGTTTAATAAAATAATAATTAATAATTATAATTATTAATTAATAAAACAACTAATATTTATTAAATTAAAATCAACTTAAAATTAAATATTCTTAAACATATAAATACAGTTAT